TCATAAATACAAAGTATGCTGTTTCTGTAAGTTATTACCTATTTGTAAAAAAATTGTAGGTATTGTTTCCAAGGGATATAAAAAACCTAAAAGATAAATCCATATCCCAAGGCAAAAAGGAGGGAACAGATAAAAAAATTATAACAAGTTAGTGTTAATATTTTTCTTAGGACAACTATACATTATAGCTGCATTCATGCTAAAATAGGCCTAAATCCAATTTTACCTAATAATGCTTATCTAATATGTACACAACAGAGACAAATTACACTAGTTTACAGATCCATAAACCAGAACATAAAAGCAATTCTTATGAAAGCAAAAAGCCTAAACTTCAATGTAAGAAAACAAGAATTACTTTGGGCATTTATGGCCAAACTTTGTGATCAATAGTTTTGCAGTTTATAGTACTTGGGTCTATCCAGCTTTTTACTCAACCCATTTTTTATTCTTACTCCTAAATGGAAACCTTTTCCATGAGCAAACAAAAAACAACTATTTTCTCCTTACATATATCAAAAAATATTTTACTTTTTCTTAGTAAGCACAGGGCATTGTTTCCAAAACATCTATGAAATCTGCTATAATTACAAAACTCAGGGCAAGGAACAATTTCAAAGACCCTGAACCATTTTATTTTTGAAACTCTCTAGCAGTGATTTTCTACTGTCTTCTTATGTCCCATTTCTGGCCACTTCTGAGCAGCAGAATTTGGGGCAGCATATTTGAAGAAATTAAAGTGCCTCCTCAGTTACATCATCATTCTTTTGGCTGCCCTTCAGTTTTAGGGCATTTTTTGTTGCCCTGACCATGCACTCTTATATGCTATTCAAAAAAATTGTCACTTATACCAAACATCACAAACTTTTTATGGCTCCAATTTGTCTTTAAGCCTCTTACTGCAAGTTGCAGCTAATTCTATACCACATCCAGAAATGTCCCAGCTTAATGAGTAAGAATCAGACAGGTATCACTATTTAGTTTACATCCTCGTTATAACAAAAATTAATTTTTATATAACCATCAAAATTTAGTGGTAAGTTTAGTAAAAGGTTCTTGACATGGCTGCATGTCAGAACAAACCAGTACAGAAGTCAAATATGTAAAATTCTAAGTCTTACTCAATCACTACAATATATTTGGGCAGGCTAGATGTTTAATATCTTTATTTTTAAATATGCTACATACCAAAATCAAATCAACATAATGAAAAATGAGAAACTGGCTCAAGACTTCAAACCCCATTACAATACTGGATTCAGACCCAAATTTTAATGCATGGTTTTGACAATCTATGACTTTGATGCCAATATTATACTGATAAACCTGACATCAATTTAATTTAATCTCGAAGTTCCAAACTGTAAAAAAAATTTGCAGGCATTTCCAATAACTCAGCGGGACATGGTTTAACCTACAAGAAGACCCTAAATCAGCAGAACCCATGGTTCTCATCTCCTACTAGAATTTATCAGTCAAGAATTTCAAGAGACCAGAAAAAGTGTGTGTCAGGGATTGAATTTTGTCCCCCAAAAGTATCTGTCAACTTGGCTAGGTCATGATTCCCAGTATCATATAACTGTCTACCATTTTATCGTCTGATGTGATTGCCCTATGTGTTGTAAACTCTTATCACTATGATATAATAAAATGGACTAGAAGCAGTTATACTGATGAGGTCTACAAGACTAGATAGTGTCTTAAGCCAGTCTCTTTTGAGATACAAAAGAGAGAAGCGAGCAGAGACACATGGGAACCTCATACCACAAAGAAAGCAGTGCTGGGAGCAGAGCGTGTCCTTTGGACCTGAGGTTCCTGCACAGAGAAGCTCCCAGACCAAGAGAAGATTGATGACACAGACCTTCCTCCAGAGCCGACGGAGAAAGCCTTCCCCTGGAGCTGATGCCCTGAATTTGTACTTGTAGCCTATGGGACTGCGAGAGAATAAACTTCTCTTTGTTAAAGTCATCCACTTGTGGTATTTCTGTTATAGCGGCACCAGTGTGTCAAGATAATAGATACTTACATTATCACCTCTCTTGTTCTCTGCCACAATTCATAAACCTAATTAAGCCCACCATAAAAACTCAAGACAAACTGCCACGCAATAACACTCTTACAGAATATGCCAAAAACATCCAAACCCACTGCTGTCAAGTCAATTCTGACTACTAACCTAAAGGTCAGCTGTTTGAATCCACTCAGCAGTGCCACAGAAGAAAGATCTAATGGTCTGCTTTGGTAGAGATTACAGCCAAGCCCATGAAACAGTTCTACTCTGTAACACATGGGATCACCATGATGACTCTTCTGTAGTACATATCATAAAACAATGTTGTATGGTGAAACACTGTTTGTGGTGAAGCTATTATAACTAAGTTCTCCTGGTTTCCATCACCCTAAGCAAGAGCCAAAATAACAAACATTATGTTACATTATGTACGTGATTATATTAGTGGGAGGACCCAGTAGAAAGTGAAGTAACAGAGCATTTAAATATGCAAGTTGTTATATCACTAAACTCAACCAGAACATTAAGTTTAAGATTTGGTGATGATGGTACTGCATATATGGGAGAAGAGGGTGTGGGCATATTCACATCACAGGTCTGTCACAAATCCAGATCTACACTTTCAGATGGCAAATTACCAGGCAGTGACAGAGACAACATGTAAACACTTATTTGTCCTCCAAGTGTGCCTGGCCCATGTGCTCCTATTTTTAGTTAACCTCCTGATTTCCCAAGGCCAAGAAAAGCACAAGACAAAAACAATCACTGTCATGATGACACCTTTGTCAAGTGCTCTTTCTGTGTTTGCCCTATTACCCCTCAATGTGTTACAACATACCCTTAGAGAAGAGAAACAAAACAAAAATTAAACCCCCCCAAAAAGTTTCAAGAGTTCCAAAAGCCACATGCAAACAAAAAGTAAAGACAAAGCATTTTGTAAACAATTAACACAACCTTATTTGCAAACATGAGGAGCCCTGGTGGCACAGTGATTAAGTACTTGCCCGCTAACCGAAAAGTCAGCAGTTTGAACCCACCAGCCACTCCACAGGAGAAAAATGTGTCAGTCAGCTTCTGTGAAGATTTATAGCCTTGGAAACCTTACTGGGCAGTTCTACTCTGTCCTACAGGGTCACTATGAGTTGGAATTGACTTGATGGCAGTGGGTTTGGTTTTTGGGTTTTATCTGCAAACATACGAATACGTAAGAGAAAAGTGAAAACAATTAGGTCCCCTCCCAATCTTTGCAAAAAATAAAATATTTAATCTGAGCATGAGTTGGTGTAGTCTCCCTTTGTAACCTAAATCCAGTAGAAGAATTACAATTAGCTCATACTGTATTTTCCACCAAATACCATAATCTTTCAAAACAACTTCATAGGTAATTTAGCAAAATAATGCAGTTGCATTCATATCTTACAGAAGTCAACTTGATGCCCAAAAAGTATCAAAGCTATAGAAGTTTTAAATGTAAAAGTGAATTCAACCTTCATTAACAATACGCCATCTCATGAAGAATGAAGGAGGTAAAATCTGAAGACAGGAAAGATTTCCATCCGAGTTAAAAGCCATGCTAATTACGTTCAACTATCAACACCATATGTTATACCAGGCCTGGAATTAAAAACATTGAAAGAATAGCTAGCTATTATGGCCAAAGACAAAACAAAAATAGTAATAATAATAATTCATTAGAACATCTAATGCAATAGTTTCTCAAAAACAATGTTCAAATTTTAATTATCAGAAAAGCCATGAAAATATCTTTAAATCAGCTGTGGCAAAGATCTGAAGAAGCATCCAGGATCTAATGATAAGCAAAATAAAAATGTTTACAAGCAGTTGTACAATGTGAATAACAGTCTTTGCAGAATGAGGAGAGTACCACTGAAATAAAAATTAATTTATCTAAATACGCCTGCATCTTCTGTCATTGCGGTCATAAAGGCTGTTCTGGAGTAATATAGATCTTTTTAGCCTTAAAGAAATTGCTCTAACATAAAAGTGATTTCCTTTAAAACTGAGTGGCTGTGAGAACCGTCAAAGGGAAACAAAAAATAAAATAACTATTAGGCATGCTAATACATAAATTATACAATTCCATCTAATAGCTTCAAAGAAATAATTACTAGTCCACTTAGCATTTGAAGGGATGACAGTCTATACACATAAGGTAATTTAAAAGCTTGTTGCAATCAGCAAATTACCATCTCATGAACTTTAAACAATAGATATCAGCTTACAGTAGAAAATAAGTGTTTTGAAATGGCCAACAACTTTGCAATCAGATAAATAGAAAAACAATATAAGAAACATGAGGCTAAAGTCAAAACAACATAAAAGAGGAAATTAATTTTATTTCTACTGAAGTGAATACAGACACTGCAATCATTATTTTTCTGGCACAATTATGTTTTTGGTACTTTGTTTTCTATAAAAAGCATCTGTCCCAGTTCTGTTAGCTGTCAACAACAAGCATGCTCTATCCTTATTTTTCTAGATCACTTTACTAAAAATATTATTCATACACTATCTGTAAAACTGCATTTGAATATTGGCCCTGCATATCTGTCAAAAAATCCTAGTCAAATTTTCAAGAGATAACTTGAGTTATCTGTGAGAGGTAGATCTGTTAGGCCCTTGAACTGTGGTGATTCCACATCTAGTTTTATGTGCCTTCTTAACCCAGCAACTTGCACTGACCATATTTTTAAACTGTGGTAAATACATGTGTCACCTCGAGCTGTCAAAGTGGAACCAATCAATACTGAGCATCTGTAACATTCAAGTGTCCAAAGTTTTGTTACCACTTTAATTTTTGAAGCTTAAAGGTAATGTATTACATCTTTTTTTTTAAGATCTATAATTTGTCTGGTATTTAAAATAAACTAATTTAAGAAACAAGTACCCCCCCCAAAAAAAACATGAAAAAGAAAAACTACACTGCTACTATTAGAAGAAATCTTTATTTTCAGAATAAAATAAATACCTTGTCCGAACATCACTTCCTTTCCGCTACTTCCTCTAATCCTTCAGCAAATCAGTGATCAACACCGCCCCTCCAACCCCAGATTCGGGAAAAGATCCACTGTCCACATACCAGAAAGCCCTAAAATCCAAGAACACTACTCCAGTGATCTTTGAAAGACACCTGTGAAAATGCCAAAGCCCTAAATTAGATCCCCAAGGGCTTCTTTTCTTTCTTGATCACATTTCTCATTTTCAGTGCTTCACTCAACCCTTTAGGCCAGACAACTCCCCACCCAATAGCCCCTAGCCTCTCCAGTCAAACCTAAATTCTGCCCTCCATTGCCACCACCCCCACCCTGGTGAGGTATCTAGACAGCCCAGAGCACCGTCAGTCCCTGCCCCGTTCCCTCTCCATCGCCATGAGGTTAACACCCACCCTGGCCCTGCTCCTCCGAACCCTCACCCCCACTGCCAAACCCCAGAGCATCTCTTCCTCCGGTTCCACACCGTGGGACCTTTTCGATCTTCTCCCCTCACCATCCTGCCTTCAAAAGCCTCTAACCTCTTGCCTCTTCTAGGCCACACATCCTTCAATCTTCCACTTCCTCTCGCCCCTCAGCCTCTATTTACCGTAACCTCAGCCTCTGGTCATCGTCACGCCCTCAGGCCCCTCGGCTCCACAACCTCCATTCCCCTCAGATTCCATTCTACAGCTGATTCCACAGGCTCCCCCAACCGTCCCCCCGTGCCCTTTCCGGATCCCAGTCCCTTGGCAGCAGCCGTGGCTCCATGCCTGCTCTCCACGCACCCATGGCTGCAGAGGCCCACCCCAAACTCCCCTCTCCTCAGCTCCCACTCACCCCCGCGGTCGGAGCCCGGCTCCCCGGCCCCACCTCCGAGCCGGCGTCCGAGACGCCGTCGGACTCCGGCGCCCGACGGGCCTCGCCGGAGTGAAAGCTCTCCAGCGGCGGGGGCGGAGCCCTGGGCGGGGAGCTGTAATGGAGGCGGGGGCGGTGGCGGCTGCGCGCAGGCATCTCTTCGGCACCCGTCACAGCCGCACCAGCAGCAGAAGGAACCCAAACCGGAAATGCTTCGAGAGGCGGGGTCCTACCGACGGGAGGTGGGGTCCTACAGGCATAGGGGCGGAGTCAAAGCCGGAAAAGACGCGGGGCTCAAGATGGGCCGAGAAGAGAACGGAAAAGGGAAACCCAGCAGGGAAACCTCAGAGCGCATGCGTCCGGCCAAAGGCCAAAGTGGGAGGAGTTAGTGGCGAGAGGGCAGCCTCCATGGGATTGTTAACGTTTATTGCCTCTTCAGTCTGACGGGCCAGATAACACGAGCTGTATAAAACCTAGAGCCTTGGTGGCGCAGTGGTTAAGAGTTCGGCTGTTAACCAAAAGGTCGGCAGTTCAGCTGCACCAGCTGCTCCAGGTGCTCCTTGGAAACCCTATGGGGGCAGTTTTACCCTGTTCTGTAGGGTCGCTGTGAGTTGGAATCGACTCAATGGCAACAGGTTGGGTTGGGTTTGGAAGCCCTGGTGGCGTAGCGGTTAAGAGCTACAGCTGCTACCCAAAAGGTTGGCAGTTCGAATACACCAGGCATTCCTTGGAAACCCTATGGGGCAGTTCTACCCTATCCTGTAGGGTCGCTGCGAGTCGAAATCGACTAGATGGCAAGAGGTTAGGTTATATAAAATCTTATTTAAGTTTTGTGACAACTCTAAAACCGGTTGCCATTGAGTTGATTCCAACTCATGACGACCCCGTGTCAGTAGAGCTGTGCTCCACAGGGTTTTCAATGGCTGATTTTTCAGAAGTAGATCTCCAGGCCTTTCTTCAAGGCGTCTCTGGGTGGACTCAGACCTCCAACCTTTTGGTTAGCAGCTGAGCGCATTAACGGCACCACCCAGGAACTCCTGCGACAACTCTACGAGGTAGATATTATGACACAGAAGAGCCAAGAAACTTGCCTGAGGTGCCACAGTTAATATGTGCCAAAGCCAGTATTCGGACCGACTCTAACTTCAGAACCTATGCTCTTCTCACGCCCCTATACTACCCTGAGGGAAGGCCCCCCCACCCAACACAGACCTCAAGTTAGTATAAACCAAGTCCAAAGCCAGCTTTGTCCTGGACTCTCCAGCCCTTCCTTGGCCCTGCCTCCTCACATATTCCAGGGTAACCTCAGGGAGTCTGGTGGGGATGGGTGCAGGTTGTGTGAAGGATATGAGTGCAGACTGCTTCCATAGTATGCCCTGGTGTGGCCTTTCTCCCCAAGCTGGACTTTGGGGCACATGGAAGCCCTTCCCATTACAGCTCATACCCCTCCCAGCTCTGTCACCACCTTCATGAAGTTACCTGGGAGAGGCCAAGACAACTCATCAGCTGAAAACCGGCCCTGGCAGAAGGTCAGAGACCTCTCTCAGTTTCTATTCTGGGGCCAAAAGCCCTTATAGGCTGAGAAGTCTCCTTCCACCCCTCTAAATGTTTCTGATCACAGTTAATTAAGCCTTTTGGCTCTTCAGAAAGTCTAGGACTATGTTTACCTCCTTTTCCCCTTTGACGTACAAGGCCCCTTTCAGCCTTCTCTTTTGAGAATTCAGCCATCTTCACTACATGGCCATTGTTCAGACCTTTCCCCATGAACCTTATGGGCACCCTCTAGATGAGATCCTCTATGCCTCCTCTCCTTTCCTTCTGTTGTACACAGGGTCGCTATGAGTCGGAACTGACGACGCAGCACCTAACAACAACAACATGCCTCCTTTCCATGTTTCCTGACTCTATAACTCAGGAAACTGCCCCTGAGCCCCATCATCCAGACATAGGACTGCTACCCAGTTTGTGGCCCACTCAGAAGTGCAAAGGTATTTTTTTACGATTGACCTGTGGAGCCAGCCACGTCTTTCTTCTCCACCCTGGATCTCTACTTTAACTCAGGCCTCAGAACCAGACAGTCTTATGCAGGGCTCTAAATTTATTAATTCAACAAATGTTTCTTAAGCACCTACTATGTGTTTGATGCAGCATATCCTTTGTTTCACTTCATTCTCACAACAGTTGTCTGAGATGGGTTAATTATCTGGACAGATGAAGAAACTGAGGTTGAGAGAGGTAGAGTGACTCGCAGAGTCTCTCTGATTTCACGTTCTCACAATGTCTGGGGGCAGTGAGGGAGTTGACCTGGGGAGGTAAAGGTTCTGTCCTCTCTGGAGGCCCCTGTGACTTGCTGAGTCACTGTCCTCTCCCACCTGTTCCTGCCAGTCTCTGAGGAGGAGAAATGACACTGGAGAGGCAGAGAGGAGTGACAGCAGAGGCAGAGGGGTGGTGGGCTGGCCCATGGCTGAGGCCTCGCTCCCGGAGCTGGGGAGAGACACCAAAGCTGCACCTTGCTCCAGTGTCCTGGAGCTGGAGGAGCTCTTGAGGGAGGGGAAGGTCTCTTGCAGCCGAGTGGACGAAGTCTGGCCCAACCTTTTCATAGGAGATGCGTGAGTGACAGCTGGTGGAGGGGATGGGGAAAAGGAGAGATAGTTCTTGGCTCTTTAGCAGGGATGGGGGTGGAGTGGGAACTAGGAGAAATAGTTCTGCTCTGAGCATCCTAGGCCAGGGACTTTCTCCACGACCCCCTGTTCTGTGGACAGTGCAGTGACCAGGCTCGGCCACCAGCGGGGGACAGGGCAGGGACTTTACCTGCCTGAAAGAGGGGTGCTTCCCAGGGGCCCTTGAAGTTTTTTAGTATATCTGGGACAACTGGTGAGCCTGAGGAGGCAGAGGGCTGAGGAATGGTGATTTTGGGTATGAGATGGGGTAGACAGAGAGCCCCTCTTCCTGGTCCTATCCTCCCTTATCTGGTCCCAGAGTGGGTGGGGAAACCTGACTGAATGTGAATCAGATTAGAAGCAGGTATGAAGTGGTGGCCAGAAGAGGCCGGATGTGTGTGGGAGGAGATGAGCAGGAAAGGAGGGGCAGCTGGGTCCCAGGGCTGAAGCAATCCTTTCCTTCTGCCCTGGCCAAGGCAGGAGCAGATCACCTCAGAAACCAAAGAGGGTCTAAAGGTAACCCCCTGCACTACCAACCCTCCCACCAGAAAGGACTGGGGCAGGGCTGTGGGCTGCAGACCCCAGCTGGAGCTTCCTGGGCTCCGTCCCTCTGAAGCAGAGGTCCAGGCAAAGCCTTGTTCCTGGACCCCATGGCCCAGCCAACATCCAGCCCCCTTCCTGCCCTTCCCAGGGCCACGGCAAATAATCGCTTTGAGCTGTGGAAGCTGGGCATCACTCACGTGCTGAACGCCGCCCATGGGGGCCTCTACTGCCAGGGTGGTCCTGACTTCTATGGCAGCAGTGTGAGCTACCTAGGGGTGCCAGCCCACGACCTCCCGGACTTCGACATCAGTGCCTACTTCTCCTCTGCAGCTGACTTCATCCACCGTGCCCTCAGCACACCTGGGGGTAAGACTTGGTGTCCTTCCTGATTCCATCCTGCTCAGTCAGGAGGGATGCCCAGTTTCCCCTCAATCATCAGTGCCTTCCGATTGCTGGTTTTTAAACCGGCCAGGTATTTTTTTTTTTTTAAATCCTTTGCTTGGTGTTCCAACCCCATGGCTTCACAGAAGGCGAAACCAAGGCCTAGAATACAAGGTCATGTTAATACAAGGCCATGAGTTAGGAGCAGCACTGGGGCTGGAAGCCAGGTCTCCCAAATAGCAAAAGAGTTCTTTCTATGCATCGCTCAGCTTTCAGAAATCCATTTGGTACCTGGATGTCTCGCTTCTGCACTCAAAGGACTTTCAGATGGAAAAAAAAATCAAATACCTAAGGTACAACAAAAGACCTTGGGAAAGCCGGAGTTCATTCTGAGAGAGAGCTGTACCCCTTGCTCCATGACCCTGGGCAACTACTGCCCTTATCTGGACTTCAGTTTCCTCACCTATGTGATGGGAATGACAAGACTGTGTCTCATAGCACTTTTTAACATTGCAAACCCTTTAACATTCATCCATTCACTCACCAGCTATTTACTGGGAGTCTGTCACGTGCTAGGCCCTGAGCTAGATACTAGAATCCAGACTTAAGCAAGGCAGGGCCCCTGCCTCATGGAACTGTTACACATCTGATAGAAAGACAGTGAAACTGTGAAGCGTTGTGAGTGCTACAGTGGGCAAAAGTGAAGAGTAGGGCACTCAGCCCACTCCGACGATCAGAGAGGTGGGGGATGCTTCTCCACAACAGTACTCTCTGGGCCACATGCAAAGGTGGTGAGCTGTTCTGTGAGTCAGGCGATACTATGAGGTAGTCAGGGAAGCCCATGTGAGGAAACGTTTCAGCTGAGACCTGATGAATGACTTGAACTTAGACCAAGAGCAGGGGGAAAGGTTTTTTTTTTTTTCTTTTCTTTTTATTGTGCTTTAAGTGAAAATTTACAATTCAAGTTAGTTTCTCATACAGAATTTTATACACACATTGTTACATGACCTTAGTTGCTCTCCTTATACTGTGACAGCACACTCCTCCTTTGCACCCTGGATTTCCTGTGGCCATTCAACCAGCTCCTGACCCTCTCTGCCTTCTCATCTCACCTCCGGACAGGAGCTGCTCATTTAGTCTCCTGTAGCTACTTGAGCTAAGAAGCACACTCTTCATGAGTATCATTTTATGTCTTATAGTCCAGTCTAATCCTTGTTTGAAGAGTTGGCCTTGGGAATGGTTTTAGTTTTGGGCTAACGGAGAGTCCGGGGGCCATGTCTTCCAGGGTCTCTCTAGTCTCAGTCAAACCATTAAGTCTGGTCTTTTTACTAGAATTTGAGTTCTGTACCCCACTTTTCTCCTGCTCCGTCAGGGACTCTCTGTTGTGTTTCCTGTCGGGGAGGTTTTTCAGGTAGTTGGAATAGCATGTGCTAAGGCTGGAGGCCATAGACCATGACAGCTTCAAGGAACTGAAAGCTACCCCGTGTTCCTAGAGCTAAGAGTTAGGGTGGGATCACCTGAGATGAGATGTGGGGTCAGCCGGGGAAGCTCTTGGAGGGCCTTGTAAGTCATGTGAGTTGGGACTCCATCCCAAAACAGATGTTGGTCTACCCATTTGACAGATCAGGAAACAGAGGCCCATAAAGGCTGGGTGACTTGCCCAGGGTCACAGATTATGCCCAAGGCAGACAAGGGAAAGGAATTTGGGTTTCCACCCCAGCCCCTGGGAGGGCCTTCTGGTGGGGAAGGGTCTTTCACTAGGATGTCTTCCTCAGCCAAGGTCCTGGTGCACTGTGTGGTGGGTGTGAGCCGCTCCGCCACGCTGGTCCTGGCCTACCTCATGCTGCACCAGCAGCTGTCCCTGCGCCAGGCGGTGATCACTGTGCGGCAGCACCGATGGGTCTTCCCCAACCGAGGCTTCCTCCGCCAGCTCTGCCAACTGGACCAGCAGTTGTGGGGTGCAGGCCAGAACTGAGGGGCCAGGTGAGGGCTGGGCAGGGGGTTGGGGGGTAAGCGGGCAAGGCTGGGTGCAGTTAAAGTGAGAAGTCAGGTGAGGGGCTGGGCAGGGGACATGGGATGGGACCAGTTCAGGGATTGGTTGGCAGGGCTGTGTGTGGCTAGAAATGAGGGTTGAAGGGGCCCAGGCCCACTCCCCAAGATGCTGGGATCCCCTCACCAACCCAAGGTCTCACCAGGACCTGACTTATGCAATATTCCTGTAGGCTCTCCTCTCCCACAGCTCCACCAGAGTCTCAGACCCCAGGGAGAGTGGAAAGGCTAAGAAGGAAGGGGGTGGAAAGTATAAAACGGAAGAGCTCGTGAGGCCTCCTACCTCATTCTAAGGCTGGCTTGTTCTGCCTCCTCAGCCGAAAGGCTGCGGGAGCTCACCTGAACCACACCAAGGTCAGAACTGGCACCTGTGGCTGTCTTGACCTTCCCACACCTCTGCTAAGCCTGTAACCTCTGCATCTCCTTCCCCTCAGTTCCAGACCCAGCTACAGTCTCTGGACGAAAATTTGGCTGCAGTTGGAGTTCCAGGCTTAGCTAATTCTCATCCAGCCATGCTCCACCATTCCCACAATGGGGAAGGAGGACAGGTTCCCGAATGTGCTTCTGCCATCAGCCATGACCTCTAAAGCCCTGCTCGATGCAAGAGTTCTCCCGTGTCTCTCCTGTACTTGCACCATTCAGTTCTCTGCCGTGTTCCCAGCACCCAGACCCTACCCACCTCCCAATTACTCTTCTGATCTCAGAGATCTTCAGAGGACCGTCCCTATCCTTCCTCCCTCTCTGGTTCTGGGCACCCCTTTAGGACATAAAGGTCTTCCTGAAGTCTACCCAAACTCCTCCCTGCTCATTCACCCCCTGCTTTCTTGTTCTGTGTTCAGGGCAGCTGGAGAAATAGCCCACGGTCCTCAAGTTGCACAGAGGGAGCAGATCCACAATACCTCCTCTCCCCAACCCGACCCCTCCTGCTGGAGGCCTCACTGTCCCCAGTAGAAGATGGTGGGTTTCTCAGGCTTGTGATTGTTGCTAGCTGCTGTCAAGTCAGCCCCCAACTCATGGCAAACCCATGCACGACGGGATCAGACTATTGTGATCCACAGGGTTTTCACTGGCTGATTTTTGGAAGTAGATCGCCAGGCCTTTCTTTCTAGTCTGCCTTAGTCTGGAAACTCCACTGAAAGGTACCAGCCCACAAATGGTCACCAAGGTGCTGGTTCAAATTCTCTTACATCAGCCTTCTGCTTTCCTCTAGCATGTTTGGGAGGAGGAAGAGGTGACTGTGGGTGCACCAGGCTTGGGAGGGAAGCTGCAAAGTACCCACTGCCCTTCTCCCAGGTTCAGTCTGTCTTTGTCGGGCCCCAACAGCATGGCCTTCCTCACAGCCACATCCTCCCTAAGGGCCATCAGCTGGGGGTGAGGCCTCCAGACTGCTCTCTGCTTTCCCCACCCCACCTCCAACTCCTGCTACCCACCCTCATCCTTGCCTCACTCTCCTCAATCCTGTCTTTGCCTGTGCCCTACCCACTGGTTCAGGGTGACTGCCAACTGGGGGCTGGGGGAGACTGGCTGGGGCCCCTCTGGATGGGGCAAACCAGGACTGGCCTAGGCTCCCCTGGGAGCTGCAAGAACTTCTCTTCTTACCCCAAGGGCCTCCCATGGATGAATCCCCATTCTCCACCCCCTCCATGGGAGCTGTTTTGTCTCTGAATGCATAGCTAGCCCAACCAAAGGGGAGACACTTCAGCAATATTGAGTCCTTCCCACACGCTGTCTGAGGATGAACATCTTGGGGAGGGGGGTTAGGGCAGGTGTGGGGGCTAGGTTTAGAGTTTGAGGGTCAGTGTGATAGGAGAAAAGTGGGTTATAGCTGGGGTTGGGATTAGGCTTGGGGCTAAGCTGGGTGGGAAACATTTGTGGGGAGCTCTGCAGGTATGAGGGCCAGAGGCGGACAGGAATGGCAAGTTCCCAGCCTTCTCTCTCTCCTCTAGACAGGTTTCAGGAAGCTGGCAGAGCAACAGATCTCTGGTCATGCTCAATCACCCCACTTCCTTGGGCTGGGATCCTTAGATACCCAGTATCTGACCTCAGCATCTTTGCCCATGAGGCAGCTGACTTTAGGGAAGTCAGCTGGGCAGGGCTGCAGCATTGCACAATTCCTGGGGCTGCCATTCACCAAATGGTGTATGCGACTGGAGACCCTAGGAGTTGTGCAGTGCACAGCTTGTGCCACTGTACACAGTAGCCCTGGGGCTGGCGATTCTGAGATGATGGTGCTGTGGGAGAGGTCATCTCTCTCCATGAACCTGGGCCCCAAACCTGCCTCCTCATCGCTTCCCAGCACCTGTACCCACTACATACAGGGCTCAAGGTAGAAACAGGTTTAGTGGCAGCTCTTGCCTGTACCCTGGTGAGTCCCAGCCCATCTGGGCCTTGGTTTACCTACCTGCAACACGGACCTCATCTCTCCCCCAGAGCCGGCCGTTACTCTCTGCCACGGGGCTCTGCCACTTTGCCACCCTGGTGCTGGCCCTGCTGGTGCTTCTGGAGCCTCTGGGACAGGTGGATACCCGGAAGACGGTAAAAGCCTGGTGCGAAGTCCACCCTAGAGCCTGCTACTCTGTCTTCTTCCTGATGCCCCCACCCCCTCAGGTGGGAGTGGGCCGTCCTCTCAGCCAAGCCTTGAGGTTCCGTGGCCAGGGATCCCAGGTTCCCTGGGGAGCCAGGGAAGAGAGAGGGAGATGGATTCTAAGTGTCCATGACAGCCCCTGGCCACAAGCTGCCTCCCCCAGCTCTCCCCAGGGCTCAGGGAGCCCAGTGGGGGATGAGTCCTAGCTCGCTGGAGTTGATCAGACTCCAGAGACTCCAGTGTAAGTGTGGTTGTGGGTATGTCTCTGTGTGTGTCCATTATCTGGGACTAAAAGTGAGAAGTATCAAGGTATGGGGTGTGTGAGGAGGGTCTCCAGGTGGTCAGGGGGAGCTTTAATAGGCCCAAATCCAACGTCCCTAACTGATCCCAGCCTTAGGAGGGACCTTGGAGACCAACTCTCTGGCCTCAAGGGACAGTGAGGCCTGGGCCAGGGATATCCCATCCTGCCTTTTGCAGGAGTGGCTCCTGGACACACAACTTCTTATTGCAGGACAGAGCTGGGCCTCCAGCCTCGGGGCCCAAGGTCTAAAGAACCGCTCTGTACCCCACTTATACCTTTGTCTGTTTGTCTGCCTGTGCTCCTTCCCTTAGCCTGAGTCTTCCAGTTCTTAAGCCTGGGCCAATCCCATAATCCTGAGTCCCCAACTAAGGGCACCCGGACCTGGGTTCTGATGTTGACAACACCACCAGCTTGCTGTGGGATTTTGGCTAGTCTCTTTCCATCTCTGGCCACAGTGTCCTCCTGCATAGAAGACCCCTCCAGCTTTAACTTTCTGACCTTGCTCCACATCACCCCTGAAGGCCAAAGGAGATTTACAAATAGTTTATTTGCTCTTCCTTCTCCCTGTCTCACTATAAACATGCATAAATACCGCAGGCAGACCCCTGCCATGCTGCCTGTCCTCCCAGCAGGGCCTGGAGGGGAAGGCACCTGGCCGGGCTTGGCACTGACCATGCCATGGGACCAGCGGGCGAGTTGGGAGTGGCAGGGGGAGGTCAGCAGGGGGAGCAGCACATCATGCTTTATAATTAAACTCACATCAAAAAATAGAAACAGCATCAAGTGTGCAGAGACAGGCGGCTGGAAACCAGCAGCACAAACTGCCCGCCAGAGAAGACCACGGCCTGGGTCAGACTCCCCCACAGGTAGGTGAATGCCTCTATTTCAGGGGGGCCACCGAGCATGCTGGGTAATGAGGGTCAGGACACCCATGCCTGTGTTGGGGGTAGGGTGTGGGTGGAGAGGGCTAGGAGACTGACTGGGTCAGAGATAAAGGCGGAGAGAAAGCATAGTAGAGTCACAAAGACCTGGTTTGAATCCTACCTCCCATATGTTTTGGCTATGTGACCTTGGGCATGTTGCTTAACCTCTCTGAGCCTCTGTTTCCTCATCTGTAAAATGGTGATGATGATATCACTTACAGGAACCATGATGGCGCAATGGTTAAGTGCACAGCTGCTAGTCAAAAGGTTGACCGTTTGAACCCACCCAGTGGTTCCATGGGAGAAAGATCTGGTGATCTGCTTCTGTAAGATTACATCCTAGGAAACCCTTTCGGACAGTTCTACTCTATCCCATTGGGTCGCTATGATAACCCCACAGGTGGGTAAAAATTGACCTGACAGCACCCAGCAACAACAGTATTACCTATACCATTATGGCACTGTGAGGATTTAATGAAAAAATGTAAGCACCAAGTTCTGTGCCTGGTATACAGTACATTCTTAATAAATGGTAGGTATAATAATAATTATTGCTGGGCAGAGAATGAAATGTCAAGAGATTAAAAAGAGATAAGAGACTGAGCCTCACAGCACCTTGGGGAAGTTACCCACTGCCCAGGATATGGCTGAGGCTTGAAGGAGTAACAGAGATAGCAATAATGACAGTGGCAGTAAGATGCGCCGTTTATTGAGCATCTCCCACAAGGCAGACCCTGTGGCAGGTGCTTTCCATTTATTATCTCACAGGCTTCTCACAGCAGCCCCACTGAGGACACTGGCTCAGAGAAGACCACACAGGTACCAATAACAGACCTGAGAATCCCACCTAGTCTGCTGACTCCCAGGCCAGCACTCTGTGTGCAGGGGGTGTGGGAGGCCATGGAGGAGCCTGAACTTCCTGTGAGAGGGCGGGAGACAGGTAAACGCGGAGAGCAACGTAGATAGGAGAGATACAGACAAAAACAGAAAAAAGTGTCTGGGCTTGTAAACAGCAGCAACACAAGAGCAGCAAAGCCACTGCCCACAGAGTCAGTGGCTAAGCTTATGGGAGGAGAAGTGGGAAGGAGGCAAGAAGGAGCCCAGGGACAGAATGAGGGGTGGATGGGTTGGGAGAAGAGCCCAGCTGGCCCTGTCCCTGCTGAGCACTGGGCCTGTTCTTCACCCCCTGCTTTTGCAGAGGAGATATGGGAAGGACTGCCAGGAAGGGCCCCCACAGCCTAGGTATGGGGGTGTCAGAAACCAGGGAAGCCCGCTGTAGCCACTGAATCCCTTTCCCTGGCTGTGTCTGGAGCCTCAAGGATGTCACTGGGCTGGCAGCTGGGCCCGACTCTGCCCCACGATGCAGACTGAGCCCCCAGTAGGATAGAGCAGACAGGTGGGGTACACCATGAGCACCAGGAGTGAGGCTCTAGGTGGGACATGGCAAATTGTTGTTGTTGTGTGCCATCGAGTCGATTCTGACTCACAGCAACCCAATATGACAGAGTAGAACTGCCCCATAGGGTTTCCTAGGCTGTGATCTTTACGCGAGCAGATTACCAGGTCTTTTTTCTCCTTGAGTGGCTGGTAGGTTCAAATCACCAACCTTTTTGTTAGCAGCAGGCGCTTAACCTTTGAGCTACCAGAGCTCCTTCAGAACCTGACAAGAGGTACTCCTAAATCCAAAGAAAAGCCCCCATTCTCCAGACCTGGGCTAGGGTCCCCTAGGAGGCTGAGACTTGGGATGTGGCCTAGCAATCTGCAGTCCCTGACCTCTCAGCTGGCTTCTCTTCCTCCCAGGACCCCCAGGAAGAGCCTCCAGAGTCTAGCTTTGTCTCAGTCTGAGCCCGGGAACTCGGCTGCTTGATCCCAGCCACGCAGTGCTGAGAGGCACCCACTGGCCACCAGGGGGCGGCCTTACCCCACGCCAGGCTCAGCTGGCCGAGCCCCAGCCTGTTTGCCTGACTTCCCAAAGTCCCATCTGGCTGGCCTGGGGCTCTTGCAGCCCCAGCTGGTGGCTCCAGATCAGTGTATAAGTTGGGCTCCCCTCAAGCCTGGGGGCTTCCGCCACCCCAACACACATACGCTGCTCTCTGCCCAGTAGCTACTGCTTACCCAGCCACTCCTCTCTCATTCTCAGGTCAGACACTCAGATAATCCTCAAAGTCAGGCAAGGCGGGGATCCTTAGCCTGATACAGGGACCTGTGGCCCAGAGCGGAACACAAACTTGCTGAAGAAGGTGTCATAGTAGAGCCCAAACCAGAGCCGGGCTCTCCTGCCTCCCCTAAAGTTCTCTTTTCACCACTGCAGGTAGCCTCCCAACTTTGGGCATTTATGGGGCCAAGAGCCTTCAATCCCAAAGAGACGCCAAGCATAAAGAGGGTCTGGGGGCTTGGTAAGGCCAGCTGCTTCAGCCCACAGTGGCCTAGGTCTGCTCTCAGGCCCCACCCCCACAGGCTCCAAGGAGAGCACCTGGAATTCTACCCGCTTCACAGCATTTGTGTTCTGGACGGAACCTGCCCCAGCCCTATTCTGCTCACATGCTGAGTCCTGCCCTCATGCCCACTCCCCCACTCCTGGCCCCAGACCATGCCCTAGGTAGGTGCAGGCCACTCAGCCTGCCCTGAGAGGTCACGGTGGGAGATGAGGGGAAAAGCCAGGTCTTCACTTCCGCCCTACCCACCAGCCGTCCACTGGGTGAGCTTGGCCAAGCCAGTGGCCTCCTGGGTGCCCGTTTCTCTTCCTGTTCCAGGCACCCCCTACCAAAAAGAAAAAGCGCTGGTCCCAATTTGCACCTTCTCTAGCTACTGGTTGAGGGGACCAGGGGTAGTTGGCCAAAATGGGCACTCCTTCCCATCACAGCACCAGGGTCAGGTCCTGGTGCCACTCACCCCCCAGCTCTGCAGGGTCCCGGATTCCCTCAGCCAGCTGACTCTTGACACAACCAACCTGCCCCGGGGGAGGCCTGACCTGCAGCACTGGGGGTAAGGAGGAAAACCCCTGGGCCTATGGACAGATGTGTCACTCAGCAATGCCAGGCTCCCCTGCGGAGACAGATGGGTCCCCAAAGATGGTAATGGAAAGACTTGGGGATGTGATTGAAAGAGCACAGAACTGGATTTAAACCCCAGCCTTGCCACTTATTAGCCATATATATGGCTTGGAGCGTCACTTAAAAACAATTCTCTCTGACTGTCAGTTTCCTCCTGTGTAAAATGGAGACTATGATGTCTACACCTCACACGTAATGGAGAGATTAAATGGGTTAATGTTTGTGAGGCACCAGGCATGTAAAAGGAGTTAGATCATTCTGTATTGAAATGCTAACAAAGTCAGCACCCTGCGATGGGCCCTGCCCTCACCCTGAGACGGGCCTGTGCTCCAAGCACCTGGAACTGGAAGAGCAGGGAGGCCTGAGGGCCAGCCCTCGAAGTAGAAGGGGAGGGGGCTTGAGATGAGCTGCCCTCTGGGGGCCACAGCTATTTGGGGTCTCCATCCAAAGTTACAAATGACCAGCGACTTAAGGGTTAGGGTCTGTCCAAACTAGTGCCACAAACAGGGAACTCCAGGGCCCCTTGGCCATAGTCTGAGACATCAGTAGCCCCAGCAAAGGGAAGAAGTCTGCCCAGCTCCAGAGAGGTGATGAGGGGTTGATTCCCTTGCGCCCTGGGGAGGTTCTAGGCCTCAGTCCCAGCTGAGCTGGTTAATAACCTCATCTGAAATAGCTGAGAGCCCTACTGCAGCACCCCTGCGGCACCTGAGCACTGCACCTCCACGGGTCTGCCCCCAGCCTGAACTACCTTGGGGAGCCTGCCCCTGCCACTGTGGTGTCTGCTGTCTTCCAGGATGGACTCAGTGCAGAAGCAGGACCTCCGGAGGCCCAAGATCCACGGGGCAGCCCGGGTGGCCCCCTACCAGCCGCCCACTCTGGCCTCACTGCAGCGTTTGCTGTGGGCCCACCGGGCTGCCACACTGACCCACATCAATGAGGTCTGGCCCAACCTCTTCCTGGGAGATGCGTAAGTAAAGCCCGTGGGGAAAGGGGGACAAGAGCCTCTACCAGAGCCCTGTAGCCTCTGGGGGACAGAGGTGGCACCCCTCTTTGCTTCCCACCATCTCTTTCCATGTTTCTTTCCTTTATTATTAGTGTTACTTTTAATTGTGAACTGTAACACCCATTAAAAAAGTGCATGGGAAAACAAGTGCATAGGGCATAAATGTACAGTTTCACCACTCAGGTCAAGAAATAGGACATTACTTGTGCCCCAGAAACCCCTGCTGAACCCTTCTCACCAAAACCCTCTTCTTTCTCCCTGTAGGTAATCTTATCCTAACTGTTGAAATAATCATGTCTTTGTTTTTCTCTATAGTTTCCCAGGACACATGTACTAGAATGTCTCTAGGGCATATACAGAGAGAGTAGAATTGAGTCATTTTTTCTAAAATCTTTCTTGAAACTTAGAAAATATGGAACAATATGGATTTTATAAAATATTCTTAATATCTAGAAAATATAGATCAATATATTGCTAACAATATAACAAATGTTATTCCCTCATACACAGATAACCAATAATAAAATCCTTGTGAACTTTAAAATATGCATATACACACAGATATGCTTTTTGAAAAAAATGATATTACTTTATACAGGCATACCTCATTTGATTGTGCTTTGCTTTACTGTGCTTCCCAGATATTGCGTTCTTTACAAATTGAAGGTTTGTGGAAACCCTGTATACAGCAAGTCTATCGGCACAATTTTTCCAACAGCATGTGCTCACTTCATGTCTCTGTGTCACATTTTGGTAATTCTCACAATATTTCAAACTTTTTCATTATTATTGTATCTGTTATGGTGATCTGTGATCAGTGATCTTTGATGTTACTATTGTAATTGTTTTGGGGTGCCACAAACCATGCTCATGTATGATGGCAAACTTAATCAATAAATGTTATGTGTGTTCTGACTGTTCCACCGACCAGCCATTCCCCCATCTCTCTCCCTCTCCTTGGGCCTTCCTATTCCCTGAGACATGACAATATTGAAATTAGGCCAATTAATAACCCAACAATGGCCTCTAAGTGTTCAAGTGAAAGGAAGAGTTGCGTGTCTCTCACTTTAAATCAAAAGCTAGAAATGATTAAGCTTAGTGAGGAAGACATGTCAAGAGCCAAGACAGGCCAAAAGCTAGACCTCTTGCGCCAAATGGTTAGCCAAGTTGTGAATGCAAAGCAAAAGTTCTTGAAGGAAATTAAAAGTGCTACCCCAGTGAACACATGGTCAGAAAGAGAAACAGCCTTATTGCTGATATGGAGAAAGTTCTAGTGGTCTGGATAGAAGAGCAAACCAGCCACAACATTCCTTTAAGCCAAAACCTAATCCAGAGCAAGGCTCTAACTCTCTTCAATTCTGTGAAGGCTGAGAGGGGTGACGAAACTGCAGAAGAAAAGTCTGAAGCTAGCAGAAGTTGATTCATGAGGTTTAAGGAAAGAAGCCATCTCCGTAACATAAAAGTGCAAGGTGAAGCAGCAAGTGCTGATGTAGAAACTGCAGCAAGTTATCCAGAAGATCTAGCTAAGATAATTGATGAAGGTGGCTACACTAAACAACAGATTTTCAATGTAGACGAAACAGCCTTATATTGGAAAAAGATGCCATCTAGGACTTTCATAGCTAGAGAGGAAAAGTCAATGCCTGCCTTCACAGGTTCAAAGGATAGGCTGACTCTCTTGTTAGGGGCTAATGCATCTAGTGAGTTTAAGTTGAAGCCAATGCTCATTTACCATTCCGAAAATCCTAGGGCCCTTAAGAATTATGCTAAATCTACTCTGCCTGTGTTCTATAAATGGAACAAAGCCTGGATGACAGCACATCTGTTTACCACATGGTTTACTGAATATTTTAAGCCCACTGTTGAGACCTACTGCTCAGAAAAAAGATTCAAAACATTACTGCTCATCAACAATGCACCTCGTCACCCAAGAGCTCTGATGGAGATGTATAAGGAGATTAATATTGTTTTCATGCCTGCTATCGCAACATACATTCTGCAGCAAATGGATCAAGGAGTAATTTTGACTTTCAAGTCTTATTATTCAAGAAATACATTTTGTAAGGTTATAGCTGCCACAGATAATGATTTCTCTGATGGATCTGGGCAGAGTAAATTGAAAACCTTCTGGAAAGATTCACCATTCTAGATGCCATTAAGAACA